CTAAAAAAACACATCAAGCAACTTAATCTCAAGTTGTCATAACTTCAGGCTTTGTTGGAGGAAAAAGATGGTCAGTTATGGCAGTTAAGAAGGTAAATTTTTTTAATTGTTTGAGCCCTTCAGAGTCGAGACTATCATGTTTAATGAATTGTATATAATTGGTGCAAGGGTTCATCGGTAGTGATCCTATGATTTTTTTTTTCCTTCGTAATTCTTTTATTTTTGTGAAACTCAGTAATGCTTCATCATTAGTGGATGCAAGCACTGAAGAAACCAAGAGTTGATCAAGTGTGGTGTATGAGGAAAATCGTCTTATATCTAAAGATACTCTGGAAACATGCCCTCCTGCTACTTTTCAAATAGGGGAAGCAGAGGTGAATCAAGATTGGATTGTGGCTGGACCTGCTGGAATTCGACCAGAAATTAACATATCCAAATCTGATCCTAACTTAAGTTCTCAATCAAGCCTTCGTGCAGGAGATGGTGGAACTGCTGATACTATTCAGCTGTTCCAGGATGGCCCGTATAATGGTATATAACAGCTATATCTGACTTCTTTTCCTTGGTGTATTGGGGACAGTGTGGTAACTATTTCTCAGATTATCTGTTGATAACTGTTGAATGTCATGTGGCAGAAAATGGCAGGGAAAGCCATGTAGAAGACTTCCCTGAAGTTAAAGTGGACTTTCAGGTAAGTTGCGTCTAAAGCTTGATTAGTTCTTGTTGATGTTACAAACTCATATTTCTGTTCTTTGAGCTTCTGCATATTGTAGTTCCCCTTTTTTTTTCTGATTTTTTCTTTAGCTTCACTAGTTTACATTTAATTGGGGACTCCGTAACTTTTGAATCATCATGGTTTGTAGGAGACATTTTTGGGCCACACAAGTCCAATCACTCGCTGCCGCTTTTCTGCATCTGGAAACAATATAGCCAGCGCATCTGAAGATGGCACAGTAAGGTATTATTTCATGGTTATAACCTTGGCTGTCAAGTCTACTTAATCCCATTGCCTTCTATTTTGTATCACGTGTCAGCTGCCTAGGTGACCTATTGGATGTGGCCCCTCACATATTCACAGATCTGTCCACACCTAGGTGTCGCATTACGTGGGTTGCCTATGTTATTATGTGTGATGTGTTCATTGTTCAACTCCTTGACTATTGGCTGATTTCTCAACTCCTTGACTGTTTGCTGGTTCCAGATTTATAATCTGTATTTCTTCATACATATTTAAATATGATATGGACATATGACTCATCAACTCCGGCATCTAGAAATGCAACCATTTATTGCGGAGCCAAAATTATGTCACTTGACTGGGAATGTAAATCTGACCGATTGGTATGCAGATTGGATTTTCATAATGAACTCAAATATTTCTTGGCCTTGAAATCATACTCTGATTATTTGAGATTGGATATATCTATTTTTAAGTGTTTTTTTTTCTTTTGACAAAAGCTTCTCATAGCCACTGCTGATGGAGGCATTAAAGCATGGAATGTCGATGCAAAGAGAGTTTGTCTGCGATCTTAATACGAGTGAAGCATTTCCAAGGTTCTTCCTAATATTACTGGTACTATTGTGTACTCATTGGTGCTGCTATTTACCTTTGTTTTCCCTGCTACAGTGTGTTGGATATAAAATGCAGCCCTGTAGAGCCAATATTTGTTTCTGCAGCAGCATCCAAGGGGTATGTTCTTTCTGTAATCTTATCATTTTGTTCATATGCCAGACTCTGTGTTTGACCAAAATGTTGCCCCTATTGTAACAATCCTATTCAACTGAAGTGTGGTATGAGCACCATGCTGTGAAATGATTATAATTGGATCATGAAAAGATTCATCTTATAACTTAAGTACATGCATCTATGTCCTTGTATGTGTGTGTTGGGGTATTTAATTTGGATACATGTCAGAATTAGGAGTTTATTGTCTTTGTAGGCATGGATCAAGTCACCTTGATAGTCTCGGGTTCGCTTCATTAACTGTGTGGAACATGAAGACATGGAAGGCTATGGTATGTGCTATAGCCACTTATGTTTTAATGCCTTCTTCTTTTTGTGAGAAGAAACTTGTATTTTTATGCCTTAAATAACCTTTTGGGTTTCATGAAGACAGTTCTTCCTCTTGGTAAAGATCCACCTGCAATTACATCCCTTAGTTTCAATCACAATGGAAAGATTTTAGCAGCCTCGTTTGTTTACTCGATTACTTTGCATTTACGTGGTTTTAGTAGAATTGCTATTTGCAAATAACAAAATTTAAGGTGCTGAGATAGAGTTAGGCCTAATCTGTGAAGGACAATTATGTTGGTGATTTATCTGAGTTTTCTGGTGTTCATAATGTACTCAAGTGTCACTGGTTATGCCTATGTATCTCTGACTCTGTTTTTTCCCTCAGGATGGATTAGCTCTTGGAGAGTTGCAAAAGGAAATTAATTTCCTAAGAAGCCTTTGGCCAGTAACTAATCCACCTTCAAGTCAAGAACATCTTTTACATCCTCAACTTTTACAGAAGCCTCTCCGCCCATTCCTTGCTCGAGGGTATTTTGACGATGTAGGAGTGTAAAATGTGATTCCATTAAGGACGTCGTGTCCTTTTTGTAATATGTTGTAGATTATGAATATATAGTGGGAATGTGGAATGAAATTATTGTGGGAATGTGGAGTTTTTGTATTGCCATTGTATTGCTCCCCTATTGCATTTGTATTGTCATCGTATTGCCATTGTAGTGTCGTGGTATTGCCTGCTTATTGCACTTATATTTGTTTCTTATCACTTGTTTTTTCAAGTTTGTCTTGTGAAGGAACTTGATTCTATTAGGAAAATGCTTGATTGTATTAGTTTATTTTGTAAAGGAAAATGTCAGATTATTATTCATTATCATATAAATAAGGTACAACAAGCACCGTATATTTATCTCTTCAATATGATTGATTCGTGTTCAGCTATTGGTGTAAGAATGCGATTCCATTAAGGTGTAAGAATGTGATTCCATTATTTCTTTTTTATTGATTATTTATTATTGTAAGAATGTGATTCCATTAAGGATGTCACGTCCTTTTTTATAAATCAAACTCATAGTTGCTTTCCCTTCAACAAATTATATTAATTAAGAAAAACAACCAAAAAGCAATAAACAAAAGCAATACGAAAAGTAATGGCACGTGGATTATGAAATGGTAACAGACATGCAATACAAAAGCAATACGATAGCAATAAACAAGCAATAAAGTGGCAATAGACAAGCAATAAAAAAGCAATACAAATACAATAAACAAGTTGGGCGCGGCTTTTCTTTTTCTTGTGCAATTCGAAAAGAAAAGGGGAAAGAAACAGAAATTGTCAAGACAAAACTGCAGAAAGAAACAGAAAGTTATTATATCAGACATTTCCCCTTACATTTTTCCTGCCAATGATATACATACCCTATGAAATTGGAGACATTGTTGACACTGAAAGTAGCTGAAGCATGCATCATTTTGCAAACACAATGATGAGATTGAGATATGATGCACATTTCACATTTTCCACCTTATTATAATGGAATTTTAAATTATAGATACAAAATTCTATACTGATAATGATAACCACCCCAAGCTAAGAACGGCTCGGCATAAATAAATACAACTTCAGTCAGACTATGACATTATATATATCCCTTGAAATACAATATACAAATTGTTGGCTCAAAGAAGAGTAACAAAATTTTGATTCCAAATCCAGCATTTCAGTACAATGCTGGAGGAAGTTGCAACAAATTGATGACTATAAGCATACGTCCATCTTGAAGATGAAATTCTTTCCACCATCTTGGAGGCCTGACATAATGCTCTTTGATAGTCACCCACCCTTCTCTAAAAAAAATTATTCTTTCCTCTGCAAGAAAAAAGAAAGAAAAACCAAGATCAAGATCAACTATCCTCCAAAATTATCGCTTAATTTTGAAGGAACAAAACTCTGTGTCCTTCACTTTGGCCAACACTTTACCCCTTACAGGCCGACCCGGTGTGAGCGGGGATTAGTCTGGGTTGTGATTAAGGCTTAAAGGTGCCACTCATAGTTGGGGCCCATCCAGGACCACCTCGTGGTTCAGACAAAAAAAAAAAACTATGTGTCATGGTTACTGCAGATGTATTCTTAGGGCCAACCGTCTCCCATTCATCTTTTTTTGTATCTATAATTTAAAATTCCATTATAATAAGGTGGAAAATGTGAAATGTGCAGCATATCTCAATCTCATCATTGTGTTTGCAAAATGATGCATGCCTCAGCTACTTTCAGTGTCAACAATGTCTAAGGGGAAATGCTGATATAATCACTTTCTGTTTCTTTCTACAGTTTTGTCTTGACAATTTCTGTTTCTTTCCCCTTTTCTTTTTGGATTGCACAAGAAAAAGAAAAGCCGCGCCCAACTTGTTTATTGTATTTGTATTGTGTTTTTATTGCTTGTCTATTACCACTTTATTGCTTTTTTATTGCCACTTTATTGCTTTTGTATTGCATGTCTGTTACCACTTCATAATCTACGTGCCATTACTTTCGTATTGCTTTTGTTTATTGCTTTTTGGTTGGTTTTCTTAATTAATATAATTTGTTGCAGGGAAAGCAACTATGAGTTTGATTTATAAAAAGGACGTGACGTCCTTAATATAATCACATTCTTACAATAATAAATAATCAATAAAAAAGCAATAATGGAATCACATTCTTACACCAATAGCTTAACACAAATCAAGCATATTGAAGAGATACATATACGGTGCTTGTTGTACCTTATTTATATGATAATGAATAATGATATGACATTTTCCTTTACAAAATAAACTAATACAATCAAGCGTTTTCTTTTACAAAATATCCTTATAAGTTCCTTCACAAGACAGACTTGAAAAAACAGGTGATAAGAAACAAATATAAGTGCAATAACCAGACAATACCACGGCACTACAATGGCAATACGATGACAATACAAATGCAATAGGGGAGCAATACAATGGCAATACAAAAACTCCACATTCCCACTATATATTCATAATCTACAACATATTACAAAAAGGACACGACGTCCTTAATGGAATCACATTTTACACTCCTACATCTTCAAAATACCCTCGAGCAAGGAATGGGCGGAGAGGCTTCTGTAAAAGTTGAGGATGTAAAAGATGTTCTTGACTTGAAGGTGGATTAGTTACTGGCCAAAGGCTTCTTAGGAATTATTTTCCTTTCGCAACTCTCCAAGAGCTAATCCAGCCTGAGGGAAAAAACAGAGTCAGATATATAGGCAAAAGTAAAAGTCAGATAATATAGAGGTCAGAAAATGTTAAAGTTTTCTTTTATAAATCCTTTTATTTTGCATGATTTTGGTATAAATTTATAATACAAAATAATTATTAAAACAATGAAACACCTAGGCGCCCGCCTAGGCCCCAATTCCCTGCATGCCGCCCACCTACTGCCTAGCGATTCTTCAAACATTTGAAATCCTTGACTGAAATTCTTGTTGTAAAATATGTAAACCAAACATGTTGATTTCAAATTTATAAATTTGAAATGCACATATTTATAATCCATGGATATCAAATTCAAATCTTAGTATCGAAACGGGCCCTAAACTTTCATCTTTTATTTTTATGCGAAGCATGAAGCAGATAGATAACGCCACACAACACGGACATGCCCAAACTTTCAAAGAATGGCTATGCTCTATAAAACAAACTGTTCAATGATTTGCACCTACATAAGAATACAAGACAGCCTGCTCAGATGAAAGCCAGAGTGAAACCTGTTCAAACAAACCCGGAGTGAACTTCATTCAACCTCAAGAACACCAAGAACAAAGAGATCAAATCAGAAACCTTTATGACATAGATGTGACTCGGACAGAGTTATCAGCTGATCCTGTTATGAATAGAGGCAAAGTTGGGTGCCAATCCACAGTAGTTATTGCTGCACTGTGTAGGAGAGTTCTCAACCCAATAGCATGACCCCGAACCTGAGCCAAATTTATGAAACAAAACTTTGTGTTAAAACAGAAGCATCACCTACATCTTACAAAGCATGGCTATCAGGGAAATCCAAGACCACCAAAATGTTCAGTTTGGTTTCCAAGTCAATAATCCAAGTGTGGCCCATCTTTGGATGGCTAGATTCAATATGCTTAGCAAGTTGACTCTAATTGAGTAGCACTGTACAATGTACATGACGAAGACACACAACACACACATATGAAGAAGAGAGAACAACCTGATATATGGGTGCTCTTACTGAACCAGAGGTTACCAACAGTCTCCTCCCATTAGCATCTAAAGCCATTTCATGTCTGAAATTTTTTGAGCTCTCAGGGTCACATACAGTATGGAAGAGAGTAATGTTATTTAATCAGGTGTATGCCCAAGTATTTTTGTTTGATAAGACTGCTGTGCAACCAATTTCTATATGCCAAAGAAGGTACCTGCTACAGTTTCTTGACCAAAGGATTTGACCTTGGTTTTGCAAGCTCCATTCAAGAACCTGACACCACAAAACCAGTTCTTTTAAGTAAATACTTTTAAGATAACAAAACTATAAGGCCATCTACAGTTCAAAAAATGATGGGGACAACATTTCAAAATGCATTAGTTAAACTTCATGGGAAAATGAACGTAAAGCACTTGCCTTTCCATCTACTCCCAAACTGAAAATACTTGTCTCATCAGGCCCAAAAAGAATGGAGCTTATAGCAGAGTCGTGTGCTGGCCACCCAGTTATTTGTAGACCGGCAGACATATCTTTGGCTTGTTAAGGTGTTCATATATCTATCCGCATGTACATCTGCAGGAAACCTCAGCTATAGAAAGGGGCAACCCATATATGATTCTACGAAGACATGGGCTTGACCATACAGTTAAATGCCCTTGTTGAGGGTGATTTAACCATCTTGGAAAAATAAATAACACTCGGGCAATGCAAAAGTGTCAAAAACAGGGGTTTTCTGCTCTTCTGAAAATCATTTACCACCTAATTTCCTACAATTTATACCAAGCCCTAAAATATATCTGAGGATACCAAACATGTGAATCATTCCATCAGTTGCAGCGGCTGCTAAAATCTTTCCATTGTGATTGAAACTAAAGGATGTAATTGCAGGTGGATCTTTACCAAGAGGAAGAACTGTCTTCATGAAACCCAAAAGGCTATTTAAGGCATAAAAATACAAGTTTCTTCTCACAAAAAGAAGAAGGCATTAAAACATAAGTGGCTATAGCACATACCATAGCCTTCCATGTCTTCATGTTCCACACAGTTAATGAAGCGAACCCGAGAATATCAAGGTGACTTGATCCATGCCTACAAAGACAATAAACTCCTAATTCTGACATGTATCCAAATTAAATACCCCAACACACACATACAGGGACATAGATGCATGTACTTAAGTTATAAGATGAATCTTTTCATGATCCGATTATAATCATTTCACAGCATGGTGCTCATACCACCCTTCAGTTGAATAGGATTGTTACAATAGGGGCAACATTTTGGTCAAACACAGAGTCTGGCACATGAACAAAATGATAAGATTACAGAAAGAACATACCCCTTGGATGCTGCTGCAGAAACAAATATTGGCTCTACAGGGCTGCATTTTATATCCAAGACACTGTAGCAGGGAAAACAAAGGTAAATAGCAGCACCAAGGAGTACACAATAGTACCAGTAATATTAGGAAGAACCTTGGAAATGCTTCACTCGTATTAAGATCGCAGACAACTCTCTTTGCATCGACATTCCATGCTTTAATGCCTCCATCAGCAGTGGCTATGAGAAGCTTTTGTCAAAGAAAAAAAAACACTTAAAAATAGATATATCCAATCTCAAATAATCAGAGTATGATTTCAAGGCCAAGCAATATTTGAGTTCATTATGAAAATCCAATCTGCACACCAATCGGTCAGATTTACATTCCCAGTCAAGTGACATAATTTTGGCTCCACAATAAATGGTTGCATTTCTAGATGCCGGAGTTGATGAGTCATATGTCCATATCCTATTTAAATATGTATGAAGAAATACAGATTGCAAAAACTATGGTTTTATCTCACATTTTGCCCCAGAAATAAACAATCAGTCACCATTTATAATTGAAGTAAAATATAGCATTAAGTTGGCAGCATAAATAAGAAAGACAAGGGGCTTAAAGAGATCTAGGGTTTACAGCAATTGAAATTTGAGGAATTGCAAGAAAGAATGGTACCTTCTTGTGGAATTGCAGATGAAGCGCAGGGGTTTTGTGATTTACAGAGGGACCTGGGAAGTCCAATTAGCTTTCCCAGGTGGAAGGTAGAGTGAGAAGTATAAGTAAAAATGAGATTGGCGCGAGAGAGAGAGAGAGAGAGAGAGAGAGAGAGAAAGAGAGAGAGAGCTACACGAGAGAGAGAGAGCTGCGCAAGAGAGACTGAGAAAGACCGAAGAGAGAGTGAGAGCTGAGCAAAGACAGAGGAGCGACAGAGAGAGTGAGAGCTGAGCGACAGAGAGAGACGGAGCCAAGAGAGCTGAGAGAGAACAAAATTTCTGAAAAAGTGATATGTGAGTAAGTGGACAATAAATATGTATTTATAGGTGATAGTTGTAAAAAAATTGGAAAGCGGTGGTATTTTTAGTTAAAATTATAAAATTGGTGGCATAGAGCGATATTTCCCTTTATTTTATGTAGGGTAACTTATAACCAATTATTAATTTACCTCTTGACTTTTTTTTAATGAAAAATTAAGGACTCGAATTAACTAATGTTCCCTCTTTACAAGACTTGTGTTTTTTTTCTTCTTTTTTCTCTGTCTTCTTTTAGGGGTCGTTTGGTACGGCGGACTGTCATGGACTGGACTAAATTCTGGGACTGTCTCGGATTAGCTCGGATTGGACTAACCTGAATTAAGTCCTGACCTACGTTTGGTGCTGCGTCGGACTAAGAAGCTGGATTGTAAAAATAGTGAAGACCTATGTTTGGTGCTGAGTCGGACTCTAATTTTTTTTTTAAATAATAATAAAAATTTAAAGATAATTAAATGTAATTTAAGATCTTAAAACTATGAACATACTTTATAGTTATCAAATTGATATGTACATTTCTTTTTCACAAAATTAATATATAATAATTGAGTATATGCAAACTCAAAGAATTCAATTAGTGTATCAATAACAAAGAATTCTTCATATATATACAAAAGTCATCCACAGGACTCGAAATTAGAAATTCAATTCACTACACACAAATCCACCATTAATACATACAAATAAACATCCACAATTCCACAAGGCAAAAGCCAAGTTCTAGGAGATACATAAGGAAAGAAAGAAAAAAAGCCAAGAACAGCCAATGAGAAACATATTACAAACCAAAAGCAAACAAGGCAAAATTAGACCACCCTTCTTAAGACAAAAAAGCACCACAGAAAATGGTCGATGTGCATCACTTGAGTTCTCTCTTCTCTGCATTTGATGACACCACATCTTGCAACTTAGTCAATAATTATATGAGGCACTTCCAGCATCCAACAGAAAAAATGTTTGACTCTTTGTCTAGATCAATTCGTTAATTTTCCATTGCACTTCTAATATCTAGAAAAATCCATTGGCTCAAAAGACACCATCAACTTCAACTCTGAAATTATGCATGGTTGCCTACACAAGTTGTTTTGACCTCCAAACATGGGAAAATTTCTCAAGCCTGCAAGTACGCATATAACATCTCAAGTCTCATCAAATAGAACTTTGCAGCTAAAGGAATAATTAATTACATGATACATATGCAATAAACAAAGCAGCTGGAAATGAAATGAAACCAGAAGCATTTAATGGGTAAATTGAACAAACAACATATAGGTTAATGGGAAAAGGTAGAATTTCTTCATTCATCGTTAGCCACCCTAGTCCTTAAGAAAAAGAGACACATTAATCCTTACCCTCCCCCCCCTCAAATTTCTTTCCTTCCATGGCTTGAATTCTATCCCTATGCTCGAATGACATGATCAGTCATAGAGCAGTATCAACAAGCTACAAAAACAAGTCTCCTCATTACCCATTCGAACCATGCTCGAATGACACCCAAAAACAGAGTGATGTTAAAACAATTCCTTCTGAGCCACAAAACATGACGAAGAAGTAACCAGGCTAGATCACAGGCAAAAAGTACTTCATAGTGAGAGTAGCAGAGTTACTGCTCTGTCGAAGAACTCTGTACTAGAAAACCATCATATGATGACAGTCAAAGTGAGGATTTGCAAGGTTTGTCATGTAATACCAATCCATCTAACACATCTACCTAGTGAATAAAAAAAAATACATTCCAAGCTTAATTATGAATGGAATCGATTTCGGTTATATTTGAAACTCTGCACCATTTATAAAGTAAACAACCTATATTTTCACAAAAGAGGACTAGTAAACATCCACAAAAATTAAAGACCCTGTTGCACCACATACGCACTTGTTTATTTGAATTGAACCCAGAAAGAAACCTCACCCATAATCTTTTAGCAATAGCTATAATACCCAATTAACACACAAATCAAGAACACAAATTAATTTGTCGAAGAAAATCATGTAGAAATGTGTCTTTAAGGTTTAAGATTTTAAATTTGTGGTCTTGATTATCACTCCACTAATAGAAAAACCTAATAATCTTATAAAAAAAGTGACTGCTTGGTAATACTTGATACTTACAAACTGGAAGCACCACCACTTCGGTTGTGAGCCCCCGACTCTGAGGTGTCCATTGCTGCACAACCAATGTAAAAAAAGAAAAATCAAAATCAAAATTCTCCAAAAGCAAAGGTAAGAGAGAGAGAGAGGGATTCGAAGAAAGCTATAATCATAGAAATTGATGAAATTAAAATAACAGGACTTGATACCTTGAGGCAAATCTGAAACGGGCTCTTCAGTGATGTCCATTGAAGCGGAATCGTTTATCTTTCTTCTTGTTCATGTTCTTCGCCATTGCTTTGGAGATGGAACTGAAAAATCGTATAAAAAATCATCCAAATTAACAATACCCATGAAGGAATAAGAGAGGTATGTAAAGGGAGAGATAAAAAAAACTTGCCTGAGTACAACTTCGAAGAAGAGTAGAGTCGATGTTGAAGGAAACGAGAGCGAGAGATAGAGGCGTTCTAGGCTCGGACTCGCGTGTTTTGTTTAGCGAGGTCGCTATTTTGCGAGCCATGTTTCAGGCTCGTTAGATTGGACGAGCGAGAGAGGCATTTTTGGTACTGTTGGACTATATAATCTCATTTAAGTTAGTCCCTCTTTTTACCAAACATGGGTTTTAAGTATTAATTAAGCCAGTCCAGTCCAATAAGGCCTACCAAACATGCCCATTGGACATTGCGCTCGTCTCTTCTCTCTCTTTTCATGCCTCTTTCCCCGAAGCTTCCTTGCATTTTCCTGACCTTCAATCTTAGCCGTCCAGCAGATCATGGAGCCAGCATCCACAGAGAGCGACCGCTGACTTTGGGTAGTTCAATAATATATTCATCTGCTGCTCAAGACCAAACCACTGCCCAGAAAAAAATAATTAATTATGAGATAACTTCTTCTGCTCAAGTCGGATCGGAAGGCAGTATCAATTTCTAGTTGGTCTGATCTGAACCAGTATCAATTAATGGATGCCAGGAAAGCCCATAAAGCCTCCTCTTCATCCTCACCATCCTCCTCATCAAAACGTGGGGAGTACCACATATTCTTGAGCTTCAGAGGTGAAGACACGCGCTATGGCTTCACGTCTCACCTTCACAAGGCATTAGAAAGCAGGGGATACGATGTTTTTATGGACGAGGACGATCTACAAGTAGGGAAAGTTATAAAACCAGAACTGTTGCAGGCAATCGAAAAGTCCAAGATGTCTGTAATTGTCTTCTCAACGAGGTATGCAGATTCCAGTTGGTGTCTTGATGAGCTGGTGAAGATCATGGAGTGTAGAAGAACACTGAATCAAATCGTTTTGCCAATATTCTACAACGTGGATCCTTCAGACGTCAGGAAACAGACTGGTACTTTGGCATCTGATTTTCAGAAACATACCATCCGACATAAAGATGAGGTGGTAAAGGAGTGGAGAAAGGCTCTTACTGAAGCTGCGAATTTGTGTGCCGGGGTTCTCGAAGACAGGTAATCAGTGATTTCCTTGGAATATGATCTCCTTAATTACGTGATTACTGGAATACAAAGGCCCCTTTTTTAGTTTTCAAATTTCATTTTCACTTTTTTTGAAAATTGAAACCGAAACTAATGTTTGGTAACAATTTTCGTCTTCTGTTTTTTTTTTAAAACAAAGTGAAAACTAGTTTTCAAAATCACCCTTATTTTTTAAAACAAGTTTAAAGTGTTTTATTTTTTTGCAGTTTTCGTTATATTTTTTTGTCGCCCTTTCTTTTTCACCAAATTTACATTATCAAACATACAACATACATTACACTCCAGTTCCGACTTTTAAATATACTTTTAAACAATTTTCCTTTTTTAAAAAAAAAAAACTAAAATTAGTTATCAAACAAATTTCTTGTTCAGTATTTTTTTGTCGCCCATATTTTTATTAGGAGACTTTTACTATATGCATATATTAATACTACTTACTAGTTCAGTATTGATGAAAGCTACTATGATAGGATTTATGTGTATAGTTTTAGTACATATATATATCTTTATGTTTAGAGACTTATATGCAGATCTCGACAAAATATGAGTTCTTTTGGTAATTACCAAATTTGGGAAAAAAAAATTTAGTTATTCATAAAATTGGGTGGATTTTGGTACTTTACAAAACCAAATACATTTTGAGTGAAAACATAAAGAAGAAAAAATTGTCTCGGAAATCGGTCAATTCGGCAAAATCGGATACATGATGATATGTTTGTGTATATGTTCTATAGGTAATAATTTGATGTACTATATGTAAATATACTTTAAACTAAGACTCAACTTTATAGTGATCTAGATTCATAAAATTTTAAATTATTTAGTGATTAAGATTTTATGTTAGAAAAACATTGTCGGGAATATATATTTTAGCTATTCAGTGCTCGTCTTGAATTCCTAAATTGGTAAAAATAGATATGCTTCTCACTTTGGACCCGAGTTCCAATCTCCCTCCTCGTAATTTAAATCAGATTAAAATAAAATATCATAATTGCCCCTAAAGTATCACCTAATTTTTAAAGTTAAATTTGTCATTTCCTATATACTTATTTCAAAGAAAAATAAAACTAATCATGAAAGTTAAAAGAAAAAAAAAACATATGCACCACCCATAGAGGTGTACGTCGGTTCGAAACAAATACAATTAAGTCAATCCGCATCCGATCCAATATAAATTGGATTGTGATTTTTTCAATCCAATCCCATCATATTAGATGTTTAAATCCAATCCGATCCAATTGATATTTGATTGGATGATCGGTTCTGATCATGAAAAAAATATAATAATAAAATATTAACCATTTATCCTTAGGTTTAATCTAATCAAACATATTAATAGACGTAAATATAAAATATAAATGAAATAATAGAGAAAATTATTTTGATTATATAATATATTAAATATAACTCCATTAAATGATTTAAAATATTCACAAGGTCATGATTTTCCCACTCCCCTTTTGTCCACTTAATTTTTAATAGTTTTTATTTTTATTTTTAACCATGAGATGTGGTGTGGTGGTAGCTCACCTCATTCCTTAACCATGAGGTTGGGGGTTCGATCCCCGCCCATGGGAATGGAGCGCATTTCGTGGCCAGCCGTTTACCTCCATTGGGAGAGCTCCCGCGGCGAAAGGGATTAGTCACTGCTGTCGGCGGTGGATACCCCTGGGTCTCACCTGAAAAAAAAAAAAAAAAAAAAGGCTTATTTTTTCATGTACCCCTTGAAAGTGTATTTGAGTCTCACTTGGCCCCCTGAAACTCTTTTTGTCACACTTTACCTTTTATTTCACACAAACTTGTCTCACTTTACCCCATTTTTCACAAAATATTAATTAAAAATTTCAATTTCAATTTTAAAACTTAAAATCCATAAAACATTTGTAAAGAAAATTAATATTTTAGAAAATATAAGATTAAAACAAAAACAAAAACTACATCCCTTCCCCTGCCCCTGCCCCTCCAC